GACGGACACCGACATCTTTTGCATAGTTTCGAATATATAACTCTCGACGTACAGTCTAGAGAATATATACACCGCATGTATTCGAGAGAGAACGTTTATGTACGCTTGAAAAAACTTTTCGACTGTATGATTCTATGGATGATGATGATGTTGCTTCAGAAAAAGATACCTGAAGTACCGGGCTATCACAAATCAGAGATGTATATTTTTTGTTTTTCAATCCTGTAAAACGAATACCGCTCTGCAAAAAAAAGAAAAGATGTGCATTGTCCTCATGAAGATTCATTGTAAAAGAAATTTACATGTGCATAAGCGAAATACATGAAGAAGAATTTTTATTCTGTGTCACTCGTCGATGAGTTTATTTGCATAAATCAGAGAAAAGCAACTTGTACAAATCAATAAGGTTTTTCCTCGTCATGACTCATGAGTTGCTTTCTCGGCCATTGATAATTGATAACAGATCATCGATTCTAGCCAGTATCTTGTTTACTGGTAAGTAACAATTCACCATGATGCCGTTAGAGCATCGACAATCATAAGTGTATATACACTCATCGAATGAATATGATTCATCAAGATAATATCAATGCTTTGTACACAAATTTGACATAGACCTCGCAAATCATTACTGAATTGGACAATCAAACGAGATGGCGACATTAACATGTTTTGGAATTATGGTGAATTGTTGTTGGTGTCCACCACTTTCGATATCTGCTCCCCCATCGCCAATAGTCACGTATTGCATCAGACTCGCCGTGATGCTTTTCAGTCCGAATCAGGTCAAATCTTGTCCGAGAAATTATCGATGGCCACCGCCGAACGGAATCGAGGCACACGGATGATGATGTTGATTGAGACCGTTGTCCAGGAATCGTTTTGGATAGAACAGATCTGGATCGACTTTCCAGTAGCTCGAATCTCGCGCAACATTGTAGAATGGAGTCATCATGTGATCGCCTTTGGACAACTGAACTCCACTGGCTGGCCGGCTGGCTGATAGGCGATTGTCTGTCGTCAACGTTCGAACTGTGCCATTCGACGGCAGAGCGAAGAACTTCATGAATCACGGCATCCAGATAGGCCAGCGAGTCGAGCTGATCTGTCGATAAGGGGCTTTCCATCAGTTCCGCCTTGAGTTTCGATTACACGCGCGGATGTTTGCTGATCAGATGGATGAATCAGGCCAGAGCCGTTTCGTATCCAGCGACCAGGAAGAGCAGCATCCCATGCACGATCTCATTGCTAGACAGACCTTTCTTGTCCTCTTCCTTCTTCGCCTCTCTCGTCCTTCTGCAGCGGATACACCAGCAAAGCGATCAGACTTATTCTCTTCCGTTCATCGATCGACTGGCTGTTCTCATTTATCTCGGTAGATGAAGAAATCTCCATTTCAATCATCAGCAGAGCTTCGTGGTACTCTGAGATGAAAATCCACCTACCTACACTAATCGTAATGAAGATAACTACCCTTTACGAAAACTGGGATACACCGTTTATTTTAACGGTGATTATCGAATCGCGGCCGGCTCTGTAAATTCTATGAAAGACCGTTATTGCGAAGGTATTTTTTGGAAGAGTTTTCACAGGTAGATAACTAAGTGTCTCAATTACATGACTGCACAAACCGCGCGTAAAAACCCGCGAAATGAAAAAGTTCTTTGATGAGTACTGGAGAGTTCAACAAAGGACCCTGTCGGACTTAAAAGTGTAAAACTACTAAAAAGCTCAATAGCAGCAGGTTCGATAGAAAATTTTATTGAGCATCTAACCATATATAATTTTTGGTTTGACACTATGATCGTTTCTTAAACAGTGACTTTTTAAAAAGTTTGACCATTTACTGGTATGAGATGACAAAACCTTTTTAACTCAGTAGGGAAATACAGTAAAGATATTGTTTATCTCGATTTGGTAGACTGGAAAACGTGCTATAAACTGGCGATAAAAGAATTGAAAGAACTTGGTAGTTCTTTGAGAAAAGTATCTTTTTCGAGCAAAATTTGAAGTTTTCATTTATCATACGCTTCACTAAAACTTCTATAGCAGGTCAAAGAAATACAGTACCACTCTTCAACTTTGTCAAAAATTTATATATATAGACTTCTTAACAGTCGCACTTGAATATTACAAGGTAAAAGCTATTTTGCCCTACTTTTTGATATATATCATACCATAACGGACATCAAAATCCTACTCCTACTTTTTGATTTTTGCTATTACGAAGCCTGAAATTATCAAAACCATTCAGAATCAATTGTCAAAAACTTGCAGTATTCAGTTACACTTTATCCCGGTAATCTAACTTTTAGGCCACGAACAAAGGATAGATTTTTCTTTTCCAGCAGCATCTTCATTTCATCTCTATCTATCTCTTGTTTTCCGACTAATTCTGATAACAGTATTTCTAATCTTTATGTATGTCTTTCGGTGGCTCTTCGTCTAATTTCTGATACACTTTTATGTCTAAATTCTCATTTATTTTCTTAATGTAATCATCTACGCTCATAACTACAACTTTTCGTCCCTTATCTGCTGGTATAATGATGATATTTTGATCTTCTTTTAATGTTTTTATCACTTTTTGTTGACTTTTCGAGAGATTTTCATATCTTCCTTTTTTTATCAAATCCTATCTGTGTTGTTTTAACACTCGTTTCACCTCACTTACAATATCTTCTTTTTTTCCTAAAAAGTTAGGAACAGTGTACACGATAGCTAACAATGGATATAATCGATGTTAGAGTTTAAGTCTACAATGAAAACCAATTATTATGCGATGGATAAAGTCGAGAAGCGGAAAAGAATCTTCCATAACTACCGCCCAAGTGAAAGAGCATGTTAGTAACAATGATAAAGTAAAGAAGTGGATAGAGATGAGAACAGAAAATTCGAGATATAGTTTAAGAAAACAACTGAGAATAAATTACAAATGATAAAATCAGAATTTCGAACATTGACTTTTCAGGGAGTTTTATCGATCGTTTTATTAACGTTATTTTATTGTATTTTAGGTTTAACGTTAATTATTTGTTACAGTTAAGCAAAAGAAACACATTTCGCCTTGACATATAAATTCTCCTACTGATCTGCTTTTAGCCTTTCTTTCTTAGTCCAGTCCTTTTAAATTAGAGATGAACCGCAACAGAGATGTCAGAAAGCAAATACAAAGCGTATTGGGATCCACGGGTCGAAATACTATCCTAATACATATTACATAACAGTTCCATACATAATACACAATGCATATTACGCAGAGTGAAGTTATCCGAATTTTGAGAATTATGTAACGCATAAGAATTGTAGAAATTTTGTGAATTCATACATGTGGAAGTCAAGAGTATAGTTTGACTCGGAGAAATCTAAAAAGTAGTTTCGATTTCTAAGCTATCTTAGACCTTTAGGCTTTTTGGCTTATCGACGTAATAGTCCACTTTTTGGTGAGTCCGTTACGGTTTGAAATAACTGTGGTGCGATAGCGCAGTAAAGTAAAGTCTGACCAGTGTCTTATTATGTAGAGCAAACTGACTTTTGTGATATGATAATCAAATGAGCTCATTGAGAGCCTACTATAAATAGAGATAAGTTACCAAAAATCACGGTAAAAAGTGACGTTTGCGTCGGCCACTTACTGAGTTATAACTTTGTAAATAAATGCTCATGGGAGTTTCCTTGACAATCATGTCAAAGAAGACAGTTACTCTAGAAAATAAGACATTGCCCAGGCTATTACGTTATTTCGTTGCGGAACTATATTTATTTCAAAATATAACAAGCTGGCTGTTTTTGTCTGGGTTGCTTGGACAAGCCCTTTTAGATTTGCACATTTATCAGACTTATAAAGTAATCTGTCGACTCAGATTTTCATGCTCTTTTCGAATATGACCTCGAAATCCAAAACAAAGCTGTCTAACACAGTCGTATATCGATTTTGCATTTCGTCTTTTTTTGCATTTTTGACCTAAAAAAATTACAAAGTCTTGTTTTCGTTTTTTGTTTTGACATGTTTCGGATAGAAAAATCAACTCCTATTATTTTGCTAGACGATCGCCTCACAAAGTCAATGGTATCGCTAACGATGGCGGTGTCAAGATAAGATCATCTCTAGCAAAACATGAGATTGAGACTGGTCATAAAATTGACTGGGAGAATTTTGAAATCATTGACAGCGACAAAAACTCGTATTATTTGCTAATAAAGGAGAGTTTGATGATCAAAATGTTAGAACCACAATTGAACTGTACAACTAACTCTGTTCCGATGATTGTTTTTGTCTTTGTCTTTAACGAAGTGCAAAAGGCTCACCTGATCCAAATAATGTTGAAACTTGCTGACTCTACGCAAATTTTGGTCATGTTACACAGTGGGCAACAACGTGGACATTAGGCGGAAAAATCCAAGTGAGATTTTTCGAGATTTAAGTAACATGTCATATACTTCAGCATACGCTCTATCTTTTTGCCACTGGAAGTTTTGTCTAAAAGCCACAGTAGTGAGAAAATGAAAAAGTAAATTTTTCTCAGAAAATAGATGTAGATAAAAAATTTATTTTCGCAAAGCATATTACTATGTCTAAAAAAATGTTGCATATTCAAAAACTAGAACATCCACTCTATCTATTCATAAAATTTTTTGTTGTGTGACGCTTTGGAACTGAGAAAATAATTTTTCTCAGTTGGGAGCCTGAATCACGTTCGTCCAAGGAGGAAAGTGCATCACGAGTTTTGCATGAGAAAGCGAGATTTCTCTGGAACGATTCAGTATTTTTTTATGAAAGTTCTGTATATCTCACCACACAGGAGGCTTGTCAAGGGATGTTTTGTCATCGTTTTGTTAAACATGCCTTACACCCAGTATGTCACCCTACACTAGGTTTTCTGCGAAATTTGAATCAATATGAATTATCAATAACAAAGTTTCAGTATCGGATAAGGTTAGTTGACCAAAAAATAGAACTTATTTTATTGTTTATTTAAGAATAGGATGTTTGTCTAAATTCATGTTACATAGACTGAGACAACTTGCGCAATCTTAGTTATTTTACGAAAATCATCAATAGCTCCTCCGTAAATGCCGCCAAGAATACCATAGGTTTCCAGACGCTGATTGATATTTTCAATAGTCGCTCTTGCACTATTAATATCTCGATTAAAATCTTTGTCTTCAGCTGTTAAGTTGCGTCCACGAGGCTTCTTTCTTGGAGTGATCACATAATCTTCACCGACGTATCCTTTATCGGCAATAATTTGCACAGAGTCGTTTACATGTTCTAATAACCCCGACTCTCTTAGTATTGTAATATCATGTACACTTCCTTTATAACATTTAGACACGTGCACTATTCGATGACGAAAATCGCAAGCTATTTGTATTTTTAACGCATAGTTTGTTGAACTCTTTGCATGATAATATGATCTACGTTCATCTGAATCACCAGGTTGGGGGATCGCGATGAGAGTTGAATCAACTATTAACTTGTGATATTCTTCAGGTCCATGAACTGTCGTTAAATTAGCCATATCGGTAGGTAATGAAATAAACTCTGGATATACGCAAGAATGTAAAATATCAACAACCACCCATAGGAAATAATTCACAGTAGATCGACTAAGATCGAACTCTGTCGCAATATAACGTTCAGAGTGATAATACTTCAAGTGCCATAATGTAATCACAAGCAAATTCATAGGAGAGAGATATGGCGCGGCGCTACTACTTGGATCTTCTTCGTTCCTGTGACGACAATAATCCACAAGTGGTTGTTCACACATCGAATACAAATATTGTACTTGTTCGATGTCATGTCCAGTATGTTGTATACAAGATTCATTAGAGCGATTCTACTGTGACCACGGCCGCTGTTCTACAAAATGCAAAGAATACACGTATGGACTGAAAAAATTAATGCCACTTACTATCATCCAAGACTTGAAATTGTTGTTGAATGGCAACGTGCTTTTCTTCGATTTTCTGTTGTCTATCTTCTTCGAGTTCAGGAGCACAATAACTACAGCCATCACGATGTCGATGATAATTCGAGTATAGACCAGATTTTCCCGAGCCACTGCATGTTTAAATTAACATCGAGCCACAGTTGGTACAGTATTTTCGAAGATCAGTCACATCTGATCGACAGTGAGAACAATTCCATTCAACTTGTGGAGAGAACATTGCAAAGAGACGTGTTATGAAAGAAGAAGAACGAACGAGAGCGAGACGAACGAGTTATTGCGCTTTGAATGACGATGATATAACTGACACACAGAAATACGATATAGTGAATGAAATAGTATGGTGCGCAAAATACGTACCAAGCACGAGAAAGGACGTTTGAAAGGAAAAAAGAAAAAAGAATGCCTTCTCTCTCTAGTATCTCACTGATAACGGTATGCATGTGCCATGGACACCGTGCATTCTTGAGCAAATATGCATGTGTATAATTTTGATTGCTGATTAATGCTTCTATTGATTAATAATCGTTTTACTAATGAACTACAATAGAATCGTGAACTTCACGACAGTCACAAGGCTAGCTTTGGATTAAATACACATATTGTAAACGTTCTTACTAGATGAAGAATTTTCCATTAGAAACAAGTGTTGTATGACGTATTCGGTGCAAAGCATGTTTAACAAAACGATGACAAAACATCCCTTGACAAGCCTCCTGTGTGGTAAGATATACAGGTGAAATAATAACAGATCATTAGCACTATATATGTACTATCAGTAGTAAAAAAATCATCATTTCATCATATTTGGTTGGTATTACACGAACAAAATAAATCAGGGCTTCATGGCGGTTGGCCACCCCCATATATATGAGTGATTCGGATAAAAATAGTACCGTTCGAATGAAGTAAATGATCCCAAGCGTTTCTTTTCTTAGCCTTGATGAATCACTTTCGGACTTCTCGCATGTGTTCAACAACGTTAGGCTTATAATCGCTGCAAGTAAGACTTTTCTATGTTTAACCGTAAACGAATTATAAGCAAAACATCCATGTTTGACCGTTATTCTGATGTTGTTTTTCTGGTGATTCAAATACGTTTGGTTTTGTAAATGTTATTTTCTCTGTTATTTATGTGGAGCAATATATTTTTTTTCTCTCTTTCTTATAGTATTTTCTTCGCTCTACTCAGCTACATCATTACCTTTGTTACCGATTGTTCCGTTTTTTCACAAATTTCGGAACAAATTTGTGATCCCAAAAAAGTTCTTTTTTCTCTCCCGTAACCACATGGTCTGTGATAGCTCTGGTAAGTTATTTAATTTGCCTTCTTAATATGCCAAAAGTTGACTAAATATATACAATAGACAACAGCGAAAATTGGACGTTTCTATCACTTTTCCCTACCAAGTAATTTCTACTTTACTGAAGTTATGTGAGGTTTGACTGACAATTTGTCCCGTAACCACCTACTATGCCACGCCTCAACCGGGCTTGATAGAAAGTTTCTTTTTTTACCATAAGTGTTGTCTACTCACACGATGATCCTGTATAAATAGCAAAGACTAAGACTGCTTTATAAGGAAGAAAGGAAGAAAATACAAAGAAATGTCCCTTAACTGCCTTTGTCCCGTAACCGTTTTTTTTCTGTTTCTTCTGTACCATAAACATACTACGCGCGAATAAAGCCAAATTTCTAGTGTAGACGTTTCGAAACATGTTGAATTTAATGAAGTACATAAATAGCATTTAGACCGACCAAGATGGTTTCCTAGAGAACGGGATTTTCTACAAACCTGTTTCTTCTCTTTCACTGTTATCGAAAAATCCAGTGCGCTCGATCGTTTTTTAAATAAGTCGAGCACAAAAAGAGCTAGAGAGCTCAGATCTTCACCATTCGAAAGAAAAGGCCTGAGTGCACTTTTCTAAACAGAAAAGATTTAAAAAATCTTTTTCGAAAGTAGGCTTTTTAAGAGATCTTTGAAAAATCAGGCCGTAGCTCAAGAACTTCAAGTACTACTATCCATTTCAAAATATAGTGTGGGTAATTGCGACATGAATAACTCGAGAACGGAACAAACTATCGAGATCGGATCTTCTCCACCGTGTAGCCAAGACCGGGACACGTAATAATACGCAGAAATCAAAATTTTTTGCGCTGTTCTCTGGAGGATTTCTAAATGGATCACTGGAAAACCAGTTTGTAGCTCCAAAGTTTTACATAGGAATCTATCAGTTTTTTTTCATAGTCAACCTTGAAACTTTACCTATAAGTGATCTCCAATTACATTCACCTCCACATAAAGTAAAAGTACCAAAACCACCAACGTGTAAAGACTCTCGGCGACAATCAAGCATCTTCTCAACATTCGAACTGAGACGATCGTCCTCTCTGAGTGATACTCAACTAATTTTATTCAATTTATCCGAAGAAGAAGATGAACCGGATATAATGGACGCACAACAACAACAGTTTGAACAGGATAATCGTGAACAGTTGGAGGAATTAACTAAAGTCTTCCAGGAAACAATAAACAGGAATTCTTAAGAAAAATCACTCGTCTACAAAATGTGAAAGAATCAGCAGCACAAATTAATCAGTGGTTTAACTCAGTTGAAATTATTTTTCGAGCACTCAGTTATCCGGAATATTGTTGGGCCGAAGAATCATGAAAATATTTAAACGATGAAAATGCCAAATTGTGGTATGAGAAAGAAAAAGGTGTAATTGATCAGCAGTGGGATAAATTTAAACCACACTCGCTTAAATACGTTCAAGGCACTGAAGAATCAATAGTAGCGCCACCAACAACGACAACAGCAAAAGAAGATCCCACATTTTTTACAAGTACAGCTGAACAAGAGGAGAGAGAATATGATACATTTATCCGTCAGAATTTCCAGAAATTTTCAGGAAAAGAAGGCGAAGATGCGACGACATGGCTCACGGATCTAGTAGAACGATTTGATAAACTGAAAATTCTGGAATCACAATGGATTTCCTATCTTCCATCAGTATTATCTTCAAAAGCTCGTGTTTCGTATGGAAAGCAAAAATCAAGCTTCACAGATTTTGATGATTTCAGTTCAAAACTTTCTACAGATTTTGATTTAAAGCGAGATGGACCGAGTTATTTTCGGCCGTCCGCACCAAGCTCCACAACTTCAACAGATCGTCCAACCGCCACAAATTCGCTACATTTCAGCTTGTTAAAGACATTGAACGAACAGGTAGTCAAAAAGTTGAAAACGTTCAGCGATCGCAATCAGAATGTTGTAACTTGGTTAGATGAATTGGAAATACAATTTAGCGCTCATGGTTGGGGCGAGGAGGTTAGACTGAAATGTGTACCGACCGTCCTACAGGATCATGTACTTAAATGGTATACCCGAGCTGCTACTACTATAAACTCATGGCAAGATTTCGTCACACAAATCAAAGATGAATTTAATTCAAAATTTAGTCAACGAGTAGCATTTGAACAAATGATAAATTATCAATAAGGAATTAATCCACCTGTTTACGATTTCTATTGGGGAATGCTAGATATTAGTCGTGAAATTGATCCACAACAACAGCTAATAATATTTTACAACACTTGATTTCAAATGTAAAGCCTTCTCTGAAAGTAAAGATTATGGAAAAAGACACAGAAACTTGTGCTGACTTCTTGTATCATGCTAAATTTTTTGAACAAGTAGCGCCATTTCAACTACAGGACGAGGCTCAAGCTATCTATTTGCCATCTCAGCGACGATGGCCAACACAACATCGACCACAGCTGCAGACAAGTTCAGATACCGCTCAGAGTAATCAACCACGAAAAGCCATGAAAAGCCGTCAATGAAGAGGTTAGACTTTAGAAAGCTGTTGGTTTTTGCCACCAGAAACACTCACTTCTACTTCAACGGCACAATCTATGATCAGATAGATGGTGTCTCAATGGGAGCACCGATTGCACCAATTATGGCAGAATTATTTATGACAGACTTTGAAGAAAAATATCTTCCATCACTACAAAAGAACGGAGTAAAATTCTGGCGTCGTTACGTTGATGATACCTTTGTTCTTCTGGAGAGTAACGTTGATCGAGCGATCATAGCTGGTTTTCTATCAAGTTTCCACATATCAATGACATTCACTTTTGAATTAGAAGATAATGATAGTTCCATACCTTTTCTTGATGTGAAAGTGACTCGGTTGATGTCAAGCTTCACCACAACAGTGTATAGAAAGCCAACCTTCACTGGACTCCTCACACGTTGGGACTCTTACATACCCATGTCGTACAAACGCAATACTATAAGTACGCTGGCTTACAGGGCAATTCGTATATGTTCCACAAACCAATTGCTGGATAAGGAATTTAAGAAAATTAGGGAGCTTGCCAGAATGAATGGTTATCCTAATGTCTTTGTTCAGAAAATTATTAGCGAAAAACTAAATCGATACTTTTTTCCAAAACAGACTATTACTACAGTAGAAGTCAAAAAACAGTCTTCAAAATACCATACTACGGACAAGCGAGTACATCTGAGAGATCAGCAAAAAATTATGGAAAATTCACAAGCAACGACGATATCTCTGAATTCTGCTAGTACTCACAGCAATTCAACTAATTGCACAGTTCTGAAAAGCGTATTGAGTGTAATTGAGGTAAAATCTCAAAGCGTAGCAGAAATACATCTACACATAGTGGTCGTGTCTCAACACAAATAGGTCAACGACGACCAGTCACTCGCTCTCAAACAGGTCGCTCACCCCTAATCGTTTTTCTACCGAATTCTATGTTAGAAACCAAGCATCATCAAGCAACGATTTCGGTTTATAATCCGACCAATTATCCATAACTTCTAAGCCGAGGTGTAACTATGGGAGTGTCAATGTTACCAGTTGAAGCGAAACAAGTAGAAAGAAAGGAAACGAAGAAACTGACCCCAGAGGAACATACTGAACGACTGATAAAACAAATTGATCTCCAACATACATCTTGCGATGGAGACCGAGTTCCTGCTGGCTCCACGCTTAGTGAAGGGGAAGAGGAAAAAATTCAAGGCAAATTTCGAAAAGTTTTGTTCCAGTTCAAACATTTATTTGACACTAGTCAACTGACCGTTGCGGCAACTGAGATAGTTCATCCGATCAATACTGGTCCACATTCTCCACCCAGTTTCAAATTCTATCCAATCCCTTCACAGAAGAGAGAGGCTATGTATAACATTCTCCAAGTATTATTGGCAGCCGGTTTGATTTCAAAGTCAAATCAGAACATGTCTCACCAGCTTTACTCACAACTGAACCAGATAGTACTTGGCGTCTAGTAGTCGATTATAAACAACTTAATAACGTCATCATTCCTGATCAATATCCTTTACCAAATATGGAACAAACAATTCAACGTCTAGGTGAGGGATATAAATATTTTACAAAAATTGACTTGAAAAGTGGATTTTGGCAGATCCTCATTCGGCCCGATGATCGTCGAAGGACTGCATTTATCACCCCATTTGGGTTATACCGATTCAATGTGTTAGCACAAGGCCTTCGTAACTCGCTCCCTACTTTTCAGCGAGTTATGAATAATATATTGGAACCGTGTCGTCACTTTTCACAAGTATATTTAGATGATATTATTATTTTCTCTAAGACAATCGAAGAACACACTATACATGTATACGAGGTTTTGGAAAAACTGAGTGCTAATAATTTGAAAATCAATCCTCCAAAATGTTCTCTTGCACGGCTACAGATTTATTATCTTGGCCGTACCATCACTGCTACATCTATAACGATGACGAAATGCGATTAATCCTAGGATTTCTCAAAAATCTTGGTTTTCTTGCTGGATATGGCCCTTTTCTCAAGCCATATAAAGGCAGAAGCATCCGTCTATATGCTGAGACTCGAAATAGATCTTAAGGGATCTACGGGGATACAGAATCAGTAAAACCTCCACCAGATTTTGCAAAAACCGGCCGAGTATAAAACGCCACGTATTTGTATGGACGTGATCTATTTAGGAATAGAAAAGACACTGAGGGATCTAATTTGGAAAGAGAAAAAATTAGATCACGAGTATACGTTGCCAAGTTTCTCAGTATCATATACCAACATTACTTCCTTTAAGGGATAATTGTTCCGTACCGCTGCTGAGATGAACATGGAAAGATAGCCTGAAGTGTCGACTTTCAGAATCTGTATCGCTTTTGGTTAAAAAAGTAGTTTTTCGCCGATTTTGTGCAAGTTTTCTAGAAGTCTCAAAAATCGGGTCGTCAAATAATAGTTCTTTCCTGAATACTTATGCAATCAAAGCTTTTCTAAACGCACAGGCTTGTAGAACAAACGTTTCTGATCAAAATGAGACCTCGTACAACTCTGTATCATCTTGCATCGAAAAGTTACAGGCATTTTCCTACAAGTCCTGAAACTGAGCATTATGAACAGCGTTTTCTCTACATGGAAGTTATACCTGAACTGCGTCCCAGATTTCTCCGCCATTTTACGCGCTAGAAAGCTTGGGAAGGTTTTAAATTGAAGAGAAAATTGCGCTCTACAGCTTGATAGAGCCGGATTTTTCATTTGCGACTTATTTCTTGACGAAAATGAATTATTTTTCATAGGAGCTTCATAATTTTTCAGATTTTTCAAGAGAAACTTTCACCAGAAGTAAAGCAACAAAATTTTGAAAAATCGGGATCTGTCAAGTTGTAGCGGCAGGTCTTGTCTACATTTTAAAATAAATCCGAAAACTGTATCATTAGGTTTGAAGGAGAAATCCTTATCAGGCGGAGACCTACTTTTTTACCCTTGATGCTATGATAACTTTTGAACAACTCAATATTTTGGGCTGGAAGTTTTACTGTGAACCACTGAGACATGGACACACATTTCCTGAAAGTTTCAGCTAGATCGGTTGTTCTGGGACAAAAATAGGTTTCTAAGAGGGAGGGGGCCTTAACGACTTTATGGAATGTCGATTTTTGAGTGATGTGTGAATAAAGTTGTAGAAATAATTGTATTCATCTGCTTCTAGGAGAGATAAATGTACATTACTAATTGCTGAATATAGAACGAAAATAGATTCTAGTTTGAATTCAGAGTTCCAACGTGCAGTGTCAGGAAAGTGTATCAAAGAATTCAAAGAGCTGCAGCCATAGTTCAAGAATATAGAAACTGCTCTGAGAGGAATTGAATCGACGTGTCGACAGAATGTAAACGTTCATTCTGACTTTTAATAGGATCTAAAACAGCGAGAATAAAGCACCGACATGTTTATAGTCGGACTTACAGATAATCGAGACAGGGATTACGAATCGAAAGACAAGGCAGGCCAGGAGTCATACTTTTCGAAGTCGAAGTCGAGTCAAAAACATTTAACTTGTACATCTTTTCTACAACTGTGAAACGTCTTAGCAATTTCGTTAAAAACACGCCGATTTTTTCAGTCTCGGTACTATCGTTAGCTTCGTAAGGTCGTTTGACCTCATGTGTAGAAGAAAAAAATCTCTAACATTCTATTTTCGAAACCTGAAAAAATAAGTATGAAGGCAGTAAAAACAGTTAACAACTCTTTCTTTCAAAAAAAAATCTCGTCAATAACTTTTTTCTTTAAAAACACAGAGAAACAGGTCCTCCCGAAAACGCAAATTGATGACAAAAGTTTTTGTATTCAACGCTCGATCAAGTCATAATAAAAGAAAAAATGACTTGGTTAAAAATAAAAAAAAAGAAACAAAAAAATGAGAACAGTCGAAACTCGACGTAAAACATACGCACGATTTTCTTATTGAATTTGAGTTATTCGACCATTCAGTCTGTCATATTTCAATCCGCCAATGTGGCCTGAAATGTAAAGAAGAAGAAACAGAATGAGAGGACAGTTTCAGTAAAATGTTTTTCGCTCACTCACTTTCATTTCAACGTTAAACTCAATAGTCAATGTAGTAAAATTATGTCCATCATACACAACTCCAGTCTGAGTATTTTTGTCAATCCAAAATGGCATCGGCGTGAATTCACCTTCAAAATTTTGCTCAGGGACGATGTTAGCTACAGCTTCACAACGAAATTTGATTAATTGTGGACAGTAGTGTTCTGCTGTTAAGAGTGATTCCCATTTCTTTTCATTAAACAATGAAGGTTCATAGTTACAACTGAATATTAACTGTTTTAAGTTAGGCGTGTGTTTTACTTGATATCTGTAAATTCAATAGCGGATGTGAACTTAAGCTCCAATCGAGTGCGGTTGGGAAGAAGAACTGTTGCTGGGATTTCTGATATTTGTCGACCAGAAGAACCTAACCAGTGGGTTTGAATGGATTTCACAGACGGTAAATGTGGTAATAAATGAAGAAAATCACCATAGTAGAGTGGTTGTGAAAGTATGAGATATTCAATTTTCGTTCTTTTCGTTAAAACTTCAATGGGCCTTGTTCCAGGATGTTGAGACATTACTGAGATTCCAAGCAGGAGTGACAAAACGTGTTAACGAAAGAAAACAGTTCGTTTCACCAAACACCAAATAGAACAGACGATGACAGCACCCATCGAAATTACCAGTTAACTGGAATTTCAGTAAATGGATATGTTATAGTTGGGAAAGTTGATTTAATATCCTCAAAAATGGATCTTTACCAGTCCATGGGAAAGTTAGTAAGGATACTAAACGAAGTTGAGAAGAACCGTCGATGGAATACGACCAATGAAACCGTTTAATTTGGCGACTTATATCAGCAGTTGTTGATTGCGATGCTATTCCTAATTTTAACGATTTCACATTCGGACGGTTGATAAAGGGGACAACGAATTGGAGGTAATAGTCAGTGTCGACGGGGTCAAATAGAATTG